TCGGGTGGGCCGTCGGGCAAGTCGAAAGCCTACACCGAGCTGCTGGCGGCCTCCAGCTGCTTCTGCACGCCCGCTGCGACTCCCAGTTGGTAGACCTCCTCGATGGTGAACTGCTGCTGCGTGTCCTTGGCGCTCTTCGCGTGCACCCACCCCTTGATGCTGCTGGTGTCGCTCCCGGGGGTCGCCACGTCCTTCACCGCGTCCTTGGCGTCCTTCTTCTCGCCCTCGCGATTCTGCATCATGTCGCACTCCAGCGGGTAGCCAGCCTCCGGCAACGGGATGTTGATGTAGAGCGCCGCGCGGTCGTTCACGACCCAATTGTCATTGAGCGAGTAGTCGCCTTCTGGAACTGGCACCGTCGGCATCGGCTCGCCTGGCGGCGGGACCCTGATGTAGCACAGCTCTGGCTCGAACATGATCTCGCTGATCCACGAGAGGCTCCGCTTCAACTCAGCCATGCACTCGGCGATCGTCGGGAACATGGCGCCGTCTGTACCGTAAGGCTGCACATTCACATACAACGGCATCCACGACCCATTAGGGCCAATCTCTGGCGACCAAAACGGGATCTTCATCTTCTTCTGCGTCTCGTCCAATACGTAGATGTTAGCGGCCATGCTGCTCGCTGGGGCAGTCGGGCAGGCCGTCGGGCTGCCGTCGGGTAGGCCGTCGGGCGGCGGTGGCGCCCGTAGGCGCTGGCAGAAAACTTGAGCCAGGGCGGCCGTCTTAGGCTGGCAGAAAACTTGAGAGGGGTCCTTGGGGGCCGTCTTGGGGCCCAGGCCTTCTCGGGCCGTCTTGGAGGCCTTGGACCGTCTTGATGCTATTTTGGGGTCCTCTTGGGCCCCCTTGGGGCGCTCTTGGGGCCGCGTTGATGATGATGATGGGGGTGATGACGATGATGACGACGGAATGGTGAAAATGATGATGATGATGATAATGATGAAAAAGGAATGAATAAAATGATGTTGTTGATATTGTTGTTGATGATGCTGATGATGCTGATGATGATGCTGATGCGATAAAGATGACGATGATGATGATGACGACGACGAGCATCGGCTTGCCTTGGCAGACCAAACCCCTGTTAAAGGCAGGCAAGTGGTCGCAGCTCTACGCCGATGGCGCGCAGGACGAAGGAGTCTTGCAAGAGCTCGCAGCCAGGGCGCCCTGGACCGCCCGCCTTGCATTCAGCGCTGGAGAGGCGGCGGGGGGGCGGATGCACTCGCGCGCCCCTGCCCGCTGGCTTGCCGCCCGAGCGCTGCGCTCCAGGTTGCGCCCCCGAGCCGTCTGGGGCGGCCCCTGGAGTCGGCCGGATATCGCGGCGAGGTGCGTCTCACCAGGGCGCGTATCGCATGGTCGGGCACGATGGCCCAAGTGCAGTTCAGCCCCAAGTCAGCGTCAGTTCAGTCCCCAAGTGCAGCAGTGGCACCACGCCTTCTGGTGCGCGGCGGGGCCGCTCGCCCCCGGCCCCGGCCGGGTTGCTCGCCCGCCGCCAGAGCACCGCGCCCCGGGACACGCCTTCGAGCCGCGCAGCGCCCGCCCACATTGGAAGCGCCCTTTGATGCCTCATCCTTGCCATCATCTTTGAAGGGCCAGCTGGGGCGGCCCCTGGAGTCGGCCGGGCGGCGTGGCGAGGCGCGCTTCAGATAATTAGGAGGCGCGGCGCATGGTCGAGGACATGGCCACCACCAGCATCATTTCGGCCCTGGAAGTGCAGCGCTGATATTTTGCCGTTGAGCGCTGTAGGGCAGGTCATCGCTGGCCCCGACAGTGAGTTCTGGCGCAGCGGTGATTTTGAAAGGGGCCATTTTCCGGTTCAAGCGGGCTGTCTTCTTGATTTTTCCAAGCGTTTAATTCGCACTTCAGCGGCGGCGCACTCATTCCTATCGCTGTTCGACTGGCCTGCCATTGCTTAAGTTTGACTGCAGTCCGCTGTCAGGAGGGTGGCCCTTCAGCCCCGCGGTTGCTGCGCCTGCGTTTCGAAGCTTGCGGACTTGCCATCTCTCCCGCGCCGCCGCGCCCCAGCTGATGGGAGGCCGATTCGCGCCGGGCGCGCGGGGGTCGGCTGCCGGCGCTGGCATGGTGGCGCCGCTCAGCGACAGGGGCGTCGCTGCAGCCAGTTATCCATCGCGCACTTCCGGACGCGGAGGGGCGCGCGTGGATGGGAAGGCGGCGGGCGCGCCAACGGTGGCTCCGCGCGCGTTCCCGCCCAATTAGATACTGAGGGCGACGGCCACATGCTGCCACCATGCGGTGGCGCATCAGAGGCAGAGGGGCACGGTTGCGCCTCTCCTGCGGGCTCGGGCCGCAGGTGGGCGTTCATGGCTCCAGCTGAAGTGGGCGCGCGCGCGCTGGGGCGGCGCGCCGCGATGGCGGCCCTTGGAGCTCTGCGCAGGCAACAGAAGTTGGGCGTTGCCGCTCGAGCGCCTACTGATCGACTTGGCGTCGCGTCGCGCCTTCCTCGCTGGGTCTTCGCGGCTGCAAACTGGCGTCGGCGCGCCCAGCGGCGTGCGCCGCGTCGACGAAGGCGCTGTCGTCCGCGCCCCAGCGGAGCAGCGGCGCTTCGGGGTCGACTTCGCTGCGACCAGCTCGCACTGCCACGGCGCGACCAGCGCGGGCCTGGAAGCTGGGCGCTGGATGAAATGGCGCACCTTGCTAGCGTTGCACGCCCCGCCTGCAAATGCGCGCGGGCGCGAGGCTGGGTCGGCCAGGGCCGCGCGCCGTCTCGTCGCGAACCGCGTGCGTTATCCGTCGACGCGGGAGGGCGGCGCTTCTCGAAGCGCGGTCTTGTTCTGGCGGAGCTGCGCGACAGCGGGCGCGCTCTGCCCATAGGGCCAAAAGACGCGGGCGCAAGTCTGACCCCAGAGCTCGGCAGGGAGGTCCGACCTGGAGCGCCAGGAGTTTCGCCCAAGGTGCACGCGCAGCTCCAAGAGCCAGGGGCGGCCTGGACGAGCGAGGTCGAGCGAAGGCTCGAACGCGCTGGAGGACAGACGCCTTGAGGCGCTCCCCTCTGCGACCGCGAGAGGAGCACCGTGGCGGCGAGGTGGTCAACCGCGGCCGATCTTCACGCCAGTGGCCGCGAGGCGCACGTCCGCCCTGCTACATTCAAGACGGGGTTGTCGCGCTCGACGTCCTCCGCCCCGCCGCGCGCCACAAGCGGCCGCCCCCGCCATGGGCAGGCGAGGCGGGGGAGGGTCCTGATATCTTTCTGAGGGTACCTGGCAGCTCATTCCGCCTTTGGGGCGAGGCCATGCGCGCGCCCCTGAAGCGCAGCTGCACTTCTGCGTTGCGGGCTGCGCCCCGGGGCCAGGGCCTGGAACCTTGAGTTGGCCAGCGCCCAGCGCTGCTTGAAGCGACCCGGTGCGCTTTTTGCTTCGCTGAGTTCATGCCGCCTGGCCTCAGTTTTACCGAGCAAGAGATATCGAGCTCGTCGGCATCGTTGCGCTCGAGCCATTGACCGTTGCTCGCGAGGTGGTTGGGCGCGCGGGGCAGCGTCGGGGCCCGAGGCGCCAGGCTGCTTAAACGTCGTCGGATTCCTGGTCTTCGGGAGACAGACTTTCCAGCCACCGTGGAGATTGGCCTTCAAATGAGCAGCGACGCCCGCCGATGGCACGCGCCGCCTGTCCGCGGCAAGCCCCGTTGGAGGCGCGCGGCGGCGTCGTGCACCAGCCTGCGCCTTCGCGCGGCTTCGCTCACTGCGAAGCACCACCCCAAGGCCAGACAGTTGATTCTCCGATTTTACAGGCCATCGCCATGACGACTGCTGTTTTGCCCTGAACCAGCTGCCCGCTTAGTGGCAGGCTGGCAATCGTGGATGCGACTGGCCGCCGCGCGCGGCGAGCGTGGACATCCACTCCATCGCGATGGCCCAGGTCGCAGCGGAGCGGCGAGGCCTCCCCCGCCCACGAGGCACGCCCGCGCGCTGGTGCGAGGGGGCAGGGGGCGGGGCCCGCCGATCTGGGAGGCGGCCTGCCTGCGTGGTCGCCTCCCGATGAGTGGCGGGTCTGGCGCGCGCCGCCGCCCACCGCGCCGGCACCTCCTTCGCCGCGGCCGTCGAACACATAACCGCGCGCGCACGGGGGAGGGGGCAAAGGCAGGAACACTAGCATGTCGCATCTTCGCCTGCAGCTCCCGATCCCTCTCAGTAGCCGCCGTGGCCGCCGCCCCGCCGCCGTCGCCGAACTGTCGAAGTTCTTGCGCCAGGGGATTCAGGCGCCAGGGTACGTTTCTGCCGCTGAGGCAGTGGCCGTCAAGCTCTGCCAGTGGGCATCTGAATCATCGCGCTGGCCACGTCGCGGTGCAGCGGCGAGCCCTCGGCCCGCCCTCGACGCATGCCCGCGCATCGGCGCGAGAGGGCGGTGGGAGAGGCCCGATGGGCTGGGAGGCGGCCCGCCTACGCGGTTGCTTCCCAAACTGGCGGGCCCGGCGGGCGCAGCCGCCCGCCGGGCCAGCGCCGCGCGCGCCGCGGGCGGCCAACGCAAAGCCGCGCGCGCACAGGAGGGCAGGATCAGCGAAGGCGGGGGGGGCATGTTCAGTTGACTGATCAGAAGCACCGCCAGATTCTTCGACGATGCGGACCAGCCGCCATTGTTGGGCCCTATATCAGCGCCACCCTTGCCCTCCAATCCCTCTTTCTGATCTCCCGTCACCCACCCACGTGTCGCCCTATCCTTTCCCACCCCCCCCGCTCAGATTTTTTTTGTTTTCGAAAAACCCCGCGCATAATGTTCGTTGTGGGCCGCCCCCGCCGGGTTGTGACTTAGCCCGTTGCGTCGTCGATGTTGACTTGTGGTTTGCTGCAGTCTCCCTGTAATTCCCTCCCCCCCTTCGCTCAACTATCCCTTTTGCCCGCCCCCTTCCTCGCCCCCCCGCCCAGCCCTCCCTTCCGCCCCACCCCCCGATCCATCCCGCCTCGCCTTTTTGCCCCTTCCCTCCCTTCGCCCTCTCCCCATTCGCCCTCTCCTTTTCGCCCTCCTTCGATGCTCCCCGCAGCGTCGAAGGTGCTGAGAGCTCTCCAGGGTGCGCGATTGCCGCTGGACCTGAAGGCTTTCGGCGTGGCGCTGAGCGCTTGCGACAAGGGCCGGGGGGGCGCGGGGAAACGAGGAGGAGGATAGAGGACCAGAGTAAATCCACATTGCGTCAACGATGTTCGGGCACGCCCATCCGCGTGGAGTATTTTTTCAGGAGCCCCTGCCATAATTCTTGTTTCTTTTTCGAATGTTCCCAACAGCATGATTTTTGAATAAGAAAAAACGTGCCCATGAGAGCTGACGGAAAAAGTGACGAAGAGACGTGCATAGTGAAACGAAAGCCGGTTGGTCCAGTGAAGACGGGGGCGAGTGGAAGAGAAGGAGGAGGAGGAGGAGGAAGAGGAGGAGGAGGACGAGGAGGAGGAGGGTGAGGAGGAGGAGAGGAGGAGGAGGAGGAGGAGGAGGAGGAGGAGGAGGAGGAGGAGGAGGAGGAGGAGGTAGAAGAGGAGGAGGAAGAAGACGAGGAGGAGGAAGAGGAGGTAGAAGAGGAGGAGGGGGACGCAAACCGCCGCTTGGAACCCTCCTTGGGAGCCTTTGAGGGCCTCTTGAGGCCATCTTGGGGACAGTCGATCAAAGATGGAGGGGTCCCAGATTTCCGCCTCCCCCCCCTGGTGTCATGCAAATCGCCTCTTGGACCGATCTTGGTCGGTATTAGGGCCATGTTGGGGGCATCTTGGGCCCCTTTGGGGGCTTTCTTGGAGCATATTTGGGCCATCTTGAAGCCTCAAAAGCACATCGGAAGCGGACGCGCGAGACGGCAGCACACACACACACACACTTGATTTTCTTTAGGTTGTTGAAGGATGTTGGTCTATTGGAGGGATCCTGGGGGGTCCAGAAACACTTGGAGCCGTCTTGTGGCCGTCGTGGGGAGGTATGTCGGCAATTCGATTGGACCATCTTGTGCTACCTAGAGCCGCATGGGAGGCCACCTTGGAACGTGGGAGGCTCTCGTGCAACCATCTCGGATGCAGGGAATCCTCTGCCACTTCGCGGCTGCCGCCAAAAAACCTCGGAAGGAGACGGGGGTGCGACCCCTCCACGAAGGGATGGAAGAGGAAAGATGGAATTCGCGAGACCACTTTATCCAGACGGACTTCACAGGGATTTCTTTTTCCTTGCGGGAGATGCCCAGTTGAAAGACGAGCGCCCCTGGGTGTTGCAGTCAGGCGCGAGCACCGTTGTGAACATGAGCTGCCATCCATGGTTCGAGCCGCACGCCAAGAAGGACGTGCAAGCGAGATCTGGCTTGGAGAAAAAAAGAAAAAAACAGCCCTCAGTCCCTTCAAACGTTCTGCACATTCAAACGCCTGGCAATAAACCTAGAGCCCTTTGAGGCAACAGCCCAGCTTTGAACAGGAACCGCCATGCACCCGTCTAGCGGCAGCACAAGTTTACATGCATGGCCCTGCGGGCAAATGTTTTGGCTTTAGATGGAATTTTAGGCGAGCGCGTGCAGCAGTAAGGCGAGAGCCTCACTTGGGAAACTTAGTTCCATGTGTGTTTTTTCAGCGTATGGTTTGGAAACGCGGTCCTTCTGCCCCCCCTTTTCTTAATTCAAGCTGTGCGTGGCTTCCTTAGCTTCGGCCGGAAGAGGTGCGCTCTCGACCCGCGAATCAAAAAAAATGGAAACGCGGCGCGGCGCTACGGCGAGAGCCACGTTTCGATAGTCACCACCCCTTGCATCCGTTGGCGTACGCGAGCGTACGCGGCGCCAAGGCGACGGGAGCCACAGTTTGCCTCCCCCATCCCCCTGACCCGTGTGACTATCGCAAGTTTGTCGAACGAATGCTCGCGGCGTCAAGGCGAGAGCCACATATTCCAAACGACTCCCAACTTCATCCGCGTAGGCGTTGAGACTTTCAAGCTACGGTTTCATAAACTGCGAGGGAGCCTTCGGCGGACCGCCTGGCCCGCCTTACCGACTTGTCTGGCGGTCAGCCGAGGAGGAGTTCTCTACATTTGCCAGCGTGGACCCCAACCACTGTGTTCCTAGCAGCAGTCGTTTTGCAATCTAGGTGGGGCAATCTATGTGGCGCTACCTGCGTGGTGCAACATAGGGTGCGGGATACATGAAATCTATGTTGTCAAGTCTATGATGTGAAAGCTATATGCAGCATGTTGTGTAAATCGTTTTATACATACACAGGCATGTCGGTGGATGCATACACATATGCACAGATACACACATATATATGTATATGTATATATATATATTCACATGCATTCACATTCATATATACATATAACAGGGGACTGGGGCCCCGGCCCCCCGGGCCACGACATATACCACAAATGTGTGTGGGTGGTGTGGGTGGTGTGGGTGGTGTGGGTGTGGGTGTGGGTGTGAGTTGTGTGTGGTGTGGGTGGTGTGGGTGGGTTGGTTGTGAGCATGTTTGTGTGCGTGCGCGTGTGCGTGTGCGTATGCGTGTGCGTGTGCGTGCGCGTGGGCGTGCGCGTGTGCGTGTGCGCGCGCGTGTGCGTGTGCGCGTGCGTGTGCGTGTGCGTGTGCGTGCGTGCGTGCGCGTGCGCGTTTGCGCGTGTGCGTGTGTGGCGTGTGCGTGCGTCGCGTGTGCGCGTGTGCGCGTGCGTGCGTGCGCGTGCGTGTGCGTGTGCGTGCGCCTCGCGTGCGCGTGCGCGTGCGCGTGCGCGTGCGCGTGTGCGCGTGCGTGCGCGTGCGCGTGCGCGTGCGCGTGCGCGTGTGCGTGCGTGCGTGCGCGTGTGCGCGTGCGTGTGCGTGCGCGTGCGCGTGCGCGTGCGCGTGCGCGTGTGCGTGTGCGTGCGCGTGTGCGTGCGCGTGTGCGTGTGCGTGTGCGTGTGCGTGCGCGTGCGCGTGTGCGCGTGCGTGTGCGTGTGCGTGTGCGTGCGGGTTCGCGTGCGCGTGCGCGTGCGCGTGCGCGTATGCGTCGGCGTGCGCGTGTGCGTGTGCGTGTGCGTGTGCGTGTGCGCATGCGCGTGCGCGTGTGCGTGCGCGTGCGCGTGCGCGTGTGCCTGTGCGTGTGCGTGCGCGTGTGCGTGCGCGTATGGGTTCGCGTGTGGGTGCCCGTGTGGGTGCGCGTGTGGGTGGGTGTGTGGGAGGGTGTGTGGGTCGGTGTGTGGGTGTGTGTGTCTTTGTGGGTGTTTTTGTGTGTATGTGGTTGTGTGTTTGTGTGTTTGTGTGGCTGTGTGGTTGGTTGGTTGTGTGTGTGCTTGTGTGTGTGTGTTTGTGAGTGTTTGTGCTTGTGTTTTTTTTTGTGTTTGTGTGGTAGTGTGCGTTTTGTGTGCGTGTGTGTGTGTGTGCGCGTGTGTGTGCCTTTTGTGTGCGTGTGTGTGTGTGTGTGTGGTTGTAAGTTTGTGTAGTTGTGTGTGTTTGTGTGTTTGTGTGTGTTTGTGTGTGTGTGTTTGTGTGTTTGTGCGTTTGCGTGTTTGTGTGGTTGGGTGTTTGTGTGCGCGTGTGGTTGTGTGTTTGTGTGTGTGTTTGTGTAGGTGTGTGGGTGTGTGTGGGTGTGTGTGTGTGTGGGGGGGGGGGTGCATGTGGGTGCGTGTGGGTGTGTGTGCGTGTGTGTGTGTGTGTGTGCGTGTGCGTGCGTGGTTGTGCATGTGTGTGCGAGTGTGTGCGCGTGTCTGCGTGTGTGTGTGTGTGCGTGTGTGCGCGTGTGTGCGTGTTGTGTGTGCGTGTGTGTTGTGTGTTGTGATGTGTGTTGTGTGTGTGTGTGCTGTGTGCTGTGTGTGCTGTGCGTGTGCTGTGTTTGTTGTGTGTGGTGTGTGGTGTGTGCGTTGTGTGTTGTGTGTGTTGTGTGTTGTGTGTTGTGTGTGTTGTGTGTGTTGTGTGGGTTGTGTGGGTTGTGTGTGTTGTGTGTGTGTTGTGTGTGCGTGTGCGTGTGCGTGTGCGTGTAATGCGTGTGCGTGTAATGCGTGTGCGTGTGCGTGTGCGTGCGTGTGAGTGTGTGTGTGTGCGCGTGCGCGTGCGTGTGTGTGTGTGTGTGTGTGTGCGTGTGCGCGTGCGTGTGCGTGTGCGTGTGCGTGCGCGTGTGCGTGCGCGTGCGCGTGCGCGGGCGCGGGTGCGGGTGCGTGTGCGGGTGCGTGTGCGTGCGCGTGTGCGTGTGCGTGTGCGTGTGCGTGTGCGTGTGCGAGTGTGTGTGCGTGTGCGTGTGCGTGTAATGCGTGTAATGCGTGTAATGCGTGTAATGCGTGTGCGTGTGTGTGTGTGTGTGTGTGTGCGCGTGCGTATGCGTGTGTGTGTGTGTGCGTGTGTGTGTGTGTGTGTGTGCGTGTGCGTGTGCGTGTGCGTGTGCGTGTGCGTGTGCGTGTGCGTGTGCGTGTGCGTGTGCGTGTGCGTGCGTGTGTGAGTGTGTGTGTGTGCAGGCCCTTGGGGGGCCCCAGAGGCTCACAGAACGCCACCAGAAAGCGCCGAGAGAGCCCGAAGTTGCGCCAAGCGGGACCCGCGACGCCCACAGGCCGCTCCAAGACGCACAGGCCGTTCCGAGACGCACACGATGGCCCCCAAGAGGCTTCCCATACGCCTCCTGTGACGCTCCCAGAGGCCCCCCAGGAGGGCCCCAAGAGGCAACAGTCGCGCCATTCCCTCAGGGAAGCGTATTTTTTCGCATATCTGTATATATATATGTGTATATATATATATATATATATATATATCGAATCCCTTGGCTTTCACAGCGCCCACGACAGCCCAACAGGCCCCCAAGATTGCCCCACATGCTCCCAAGAGGGCCCCACGACGACCCCACGAGGGTCCCAAGACGGCCCGAGAGGACCCCAAGGCAGCCCAAGAGCGCTCCAGGACGAGCACCAGGGGTGCACAACCATATTCGAGTTCCGAGCGTGCGGCCCCAGAGCCCCCCAGAAGGCCCCAAGAGGTCCGCAGGAGGCCCCATGCTGCCCCCAAGGGACCCCCAGGAGGCTCCCAAGAGGCCTCCAGGTGGCCCTCAGGAGGGCCCCACGAGGCTCCCAAACTGCCTCAAAGACGCCCTTGAGAGGCATCGACGATGCCTTCAAGCCCCCACCCTCCCAAGAGGGCCCACAATGGCCTCCTGGTGAGAATGACGAATG